TATAATTTTTGTTCAAATTGAATCACTGGTTATGGAGATATTAATTGTAAACAATTAAAAATATAATATATATATAAATTTTTATAAATTAAATTTATTAACCAATTAAAAATTGTGTCACTATTTTGGTATTGCGTCACAATTGTGGCATTGTGGCATAATTGCGACAAATCACGTGATTGAGTTATAATTAAAAATAATTGCGACAAAATCTTATAATTGCATCATATTAAAATAATTGCACCAAATTATATAATTGCGGCAAAATCACGTGATTGTATCATATTAAAATAATTGCAGCACAATTGCGACATTGTGTTACAATTGCGTCAATTGCATCAACTATAAAAAAAATTCGTTTGACTCAATTATTAAATTCTTAATTTTTAATTGCGTCTGATTCAATTCAATAATTTCTGTCACATGTATAATACTGTCAATAAAATTTTCTTCTTTTATAATCTCTTCTTGTATTTAACTGACTTGATATATAGTTATTAATTATAAAAAGATGTACCTAGAACTTTTAAGATAATAAGATTAACAATATTCTCATGATTTTGATCTTTCAATTGAAGTAAAACTAAGTTAATCTTTTCTATATTAAGCTTTTTAGAACAAGAGAAAAAATCTTGAAAAAAAATCTATATTTCTTGAGCAAATAAGATGTTGACTTGAGTAAAGTTGATAGCTTGATTGAGATAAAGAGATGATAAATCAGAGGATTAATAAAATAAAGTAGTAAAAAAAAAAGAGACCTAGAAAGAAAACTTTCAAGAGAAAGGAAAAACTGTTCATTGACAAGAAAAGGTATTTGGAAAAAGAAAAAGGAAAAAGAGAAAAAAAAGAATAAACTGTTTTTATGTTTGTAATTATCAGATGTACATAGAACCTCATAAAGAAAAGATTAACTATCCCAAAACCTTTCTAGTTCTTGTCTAAAACTGTTATAATATACAAGAATTGGTCTGCTTACACTTCCTTAAACATAAGTGCTTCTTCTAGATATATTGTCAAACAGTTAGCAAAATCTTGTATGATATTAGCATATCTCATTATCTTTAACAGAAGAAGAGAAGTAAAGAGAGAAGGAGAGAAAATTTCCTAAAAAAGAAGTTTTTTAACAAAGTAGGAGTAGGTGGAAAAGAGTTTTTTCATGTGAATTTTATATAATATTAGAGTATTTTAAACTTAATCTATTATCAGATTTTATTTTTAATAGAAAAAAACAGAAAAATCACTTTTTTAAAATAAAAGTTTTTTAATAAGTTCAAAGTTTATATAAAATTAATTAACTTTATAATATAACGTTCAATATATTAATGTGAAAATACATTTATTTTTTATTTTATTAATTCAAAAATTGAACAAATAAGAATATACTGTATATTTTTTTATCTGATGTCATAATTTCTCAATAAATTATTATTTAATAATACAATTTTAAATACTTGAAAAATCTTTATATTTTAAAAATTTGTATATTTAAGGTTTCTTTTGATTATGAATTTGATTCCATATTTTATATTAAATTAAATGATTCACTATGTAGTTTACTATATATACAAGTCCAAAAATTGAAACTATAATTATATCTTATAAATAATTTTGATAAACTATATTATAATTAAGACAGTAAGATTTTAGTGAAAGAAACAAGCATTATATTAAATTACATTATATTCTGAATAATTCATCGCAATTCTGCTGATAATAATGCAGGGTTTTCTAAAAGGGTTCTCCACACTTCTGAAAACCTGGCAACAGTGGCCCCATCTATCACACGATGGTCTGCAGAAAAGCTGACAGGCATAATGTGTTTGGGAACCACATTTTCCATGATCTTTCCAGTTGTTTCATCTTTAAATGTCTCAAATCTTGGTAATCTCTGGATTTTTCCAACTGCTACAATACACAATTCGGAAGTAACAGCAACCGGAGAAAGATACGTCCCTCCGATAATTCCTATATTTGATAATGTTATCGTTCCTTCCTGGAAATCTGCAATAGAAATGGTATTCTTTTTCGCAGCTTCCTGTAAACGTTGCAAATCACATGCAATATCGAGAATCGATTTTGTCTGTACATTTTTTAAGTTTGGTACCAATAATCCGTTGGGAGTGTCCATTGCAATCCCAATATTATGTGATGTACGATATTTTATCTTTACGGTATCAGGATCATTTCCATCAACGATACATGCATTAAGGATCGGGAATTGCTGTAAAGCTACGGAAAGTGATTTAACAAAAATTGGCATAAATGATATTTTTTTGACCGAGAACTGGTCGGTTCGAGCAAGGAATTCGTTAATTGAGTTACGGAATGCGATAGAATTGTCCAACAGAAACTCATCACAGTATCCAAAATGAGGAATCTGAAGGGATCTTGTCATATTCTTAAACATTGATTTTTGGATGTTTGACAGTGGTACAATTTTGACATCGGTAAACTGTGGCACTGGTGGTAAAAAACCTAAGACCGGTTAATTTAAAGTGCAGGAGAATCAACGTTTTAAATTCAGGAATCTGTTACTCACCTTTTGTTTCTGAATGCATGAGATTATTTACGTAGTTCAACACATCCTCTTTCACCACTCGGCCATTTTTCCCGGTTCCCTTAACTTTTTTAATATCAACATTATGTTCACGTGCAATGCGCCTGACAGCAGGCGTAGCCAAGAAGGAATTCCTTTCATCAATTGAATTAAGCTCAGAAATTTTGGGATCCTGCGCTTGTGATGTTGTAGGAAAGATGACATCATTCCCCTTATTCTCTGATTCAGTGAATTCTAATACATTTTCGGCTTCGGCTTCGACTTCGACGTCAATTATTGGTTTTCCTACTTTGGCCATTTCCCCAACTTGATAGTGTAATTTTTTGACAGTTCCAGTGTAACGTGAGGTAATTTCGACGGAGGCTTTATCTGATTGTACATCGCAAATTTTATCAAATTCTGAAATTTGATCACCCAATTTAATGTGCCTAATATAAAATTTCAATTCAATTCGTACATGCTTTTATATATTAAGATAAATTTGAGTATACAAACCATTGCACAATTTCACATTCAGTTATACCTTCTCCAATATCTGCAAGCAAATATGGGACAACCACGTCGCAAGGACGTGATTCGTGAAAATCGCGAGAAATATTTGATAAATTCAAAAATTTTGTGTTGGCAGAAGTGAGAATGAGGGGATTTGTGAGGATGTTCTAAGTTTATATTGTTGATTAATTCTCAAATTTTTATACATAAATGAACAACTTTAGTAAACTCGAGCCTCACCCTTTTGCTAACCAAAGTTATTCTTGAACTATTGATGCTTCCGAACTGACGAAAGGAATTCCAACTAGTTGCTGGCAGAATGTGACAACTTATCAAGGATTTTCTCTTTTTCTAAACATGCTTACTGTACGTTGGATTAGTGTTTTCTCGAAAGTTATAACCCGTTTGAAAAGAAACTTACCCCATAACAGGTAGCATCAAATTGTCTGCGGAAAGCACTAGAGTATCCGCCACTAAGACCAAAAAATTTTTTAATTTGTCTTGACATCAGAATGCGAGAAGCATCCATCCAGGTTGAAAGGTTATGACTAATTCAGTGTGTACGCACTATTGGATAGTTATTTATAGTAGAAATTTTGAAAGAGAATCTGTATATTCAATATATATTCGACCAAAAACAGAAGACAATAATATAAGATTCAAATAGAATTTCCTTATTTGCTTCGGAAAGATATGGCCAGTTGATCATCAGTCGATCTTCACAAACAAACTTTTTGTGTACACAACGCACTACGACACGGAAGTTTTTTAAACAATTCAAATCTAATCATGCGATTGCTTACGTGGAATGTAAATGGTTTAAGGTCTCTTGTCCAATATCACCCGTAAGTACCTTTTAGACGCTTTTAATAAAAATAAGGAATCTCTTTAGTTTTATTTTAACGTGAATTTTAATATCTTATTCAGATGGAATGAACGAAAGGACTATAAGGTGAAAGCTTATTATTTTTTTCGTTCAATAATAATGAATGGAACTCTAACCTTTAAATTATAGACCATATTGGATTCACTTAATGCCGACATAATATGTTTTCAAGAAACAAAAATTACATTAGATAGATTAGAATCATCAATGGCCATTATACCAGGATACGACGCATATTTCTCTTTTGCAAAAGGGAAGGCTGCATATTCTGGTGTTGTAACATATGTTAAAAATAGTTCAGTTAGACCTATCTCGGCCGAAGAGGGAATTTCTGGAATTTTGGATCAACCTCCCAAGAACATGAGACCAGCCGATGAGATATCGACTTTTGATTCATTCGGTTGTACTCCTGAAGAATTACTCAATCTTGATTCAGAAGGTCGTTGTATTATACTGGATTTTAAAATGTTTGTATTATTCAATATTTATTGCCCTAACAATTCCGGCCCGGAACGACGTCCTTTCATAACGCAATTTCAAAAAGTGCTTCAGACCCGTGTGGAAGCCATGCTTCGAGCTGGAAAACAAGTGATAGTCATGGGAGACATAAATGTGACACATAAAGAAATTGATCACTGTAATCCGCAAAAATCCATCAAAGAGAGTGAACTAGAATCTTTCGATGACCATCCGTCCAGAAAATGGTTTGATGGATTAGTGGCAACAAATGGCCCTCTAGTTGATGTGTGTCGAAGATTTCATCCGGATGAAAAGGGAATATATACGTGTAAGAATAGAAATTTTATATTTTCATGATCAATCGATGCAAGTTTTAATAACATTCTTTTGCTATTTATTAGGTTGGAGTACCGTGATCAATGCGAGGTGAGATGCCTATTATGATTTTTTTAACATCAACGATAAATATTTAGATTCTTTTGACATCTCATCCTATTATTCTTAATCGAAAGACCATCGAATTATGGTAACTATAAATATACTCATTTAATGAGAGGTCTTTGAAGTGAACACATTCTCATTAATAACTATATATTCAGGTACGCGCTTGGATTATATACTTGTTAGCCAAGGGTTGATGAAATGGGTTAAGTCCTGTAATGTTGAACAAACCATTATGGGATCGGATCATTGTCCAGTTGTTGGAGAGTTTCATGAAACAATAAATGACAATGGACAAATACTCTATCTTAAAGATCAACTATTGGTTGATGTCGATGGTGAGGCTACAGGGGCACCACCATTACGACTTTGTGCCAAGTATTTATCGAGGTTCTCCGGCAGTCAGAAAACATTGAATAGCTTCTTTGTTAAGCAAAACACAAACGATCAAGTAGGGAGGTTGGAATCGGTCGTCATGGAACAACCAAAAAAGACAACAATTGCTCGGAGATTGTCCAATCCTATAGCGCAAAAATCGGTCAAAGTTACCAAAAGTGGTGACCGTAGAACAAAGCAAAAAGTTGAATTGGATAAAAATCAGACGTCTCTCATGCCCTTTTTTAAACAATCTCTTTCGAAGGAGGCGCCTGAATTAGGAACTTCGGGTTTTTCAAATTATGACTCATTATCACAATTGCAAAGTGAAGAGTCTAATCAAAACATAGTAGAAATAATGGACGATTGCACAGAAACATGTGCTGGCTCTAATAATTTACAAGTAATATCGCAATGGAATGTTCTTTTCACGCCACGTCCAGTACCTAAATGTAAAATTCATGGTGAAACCTGCAAGGAATATCGAGTGAATAAAGTTGGACCAAACCAAGGGAGATTATTCTATATGTGTTCGAGGTAGGTTTCATTCAATCAATGATATTTCGCATTTTAGGAAGTTACCGCATATTATGTGTTTTATTTACTAATGTTTCATCGCATTAATCTTTAAGACCGGTTGGAAATTCAAGAAATGATAGGTGCGATTTTTTTGAATGGGCTAAAGGAAACAAAAGTTCAACAAAACGAAAAAGCCCAGACTGTGATCAGGAAACAAGTTCGAATAAAAAACACAACAGTTCATAAGATTAAAAGATTAAATTTCATGTGGTTCAATTGCATTAGATGATTAGAATAATATTAAAACTGCACTCAGGTATGAATGTCAATTTCATAATCTATCGAAAAGTCTAATGGCTATCTCGAAAGCTACAAAAGTGGCAGCATTCACTGGACCCGCACGCAACATGCATGCACCAAAACCTCGAAAGAAGCCTTTGACTCCTTCTTTCGAAAAAGTCTTTCTTGCACAATCTAAAGCACTAGTATATTGACGGGTCTGTTGATTGAAACCATCGGTTTGTAATTTGCTCTTGATCACATCAATCGGGTATACTGATGACCACATGCTATAACCTGTATACGAGGACATCAATTTGCATATTTACGTGTTTTTGGAAATATATCAAAAAAGGAAAGAGATGTCACCTGCTGCTGCGCCAAACATGCAAGATTTCCAACTTTGTACTTCATGTCTTTGTTTGTTTTCTTTGACCATGGAACGTTGCATCAAAAATTCGTATACAAGGAAATAAGCACCATATCCTTGGAATTCCCGGGCCATGGTAATCATCTGACCTTTGTAAATCCCTTTGATACCATGAGATAAATAAATTTTTTTAATACAATCGATTGGGCCAGAATAGGTGGGGTGAGCGGCCATCTTGGGTGATGTAACTTTTGTGGGCGTTACCTGAACCTGAAGGCCTACAGGTTTATGATGTCATGTTAAATAGAAATAGGCACAGGCGTTATGATGAGAATAGGTAAGTAAATTGAGCCAATCACCGATTAAGATTGAATCAGCTCGTATAAACTGCCGTCACAAAACTTACGAGTACGAATGTGCTCAACTGGACCTATAAGGAAAAACATTGATAATGAAACATATTATCCACGGTTGGAAGCTAAATTTAATAAATCGTACCGGAGATAATTGAATTGGCTGTCCCTGCGATTGCGCCAGCGCAATATAGCTGAGAATTCGTAAGAGGTGCTCCTGTGTTCCCGTTTACTCCATTAAAAAATCTCTTCATAAATTCCAAGACGACAAATTGGGTTGAGACACATGCTCCAATGCCAACTAAAGGAGTTGTTGTTCCCTATATTGTCTGTTTATAGTAAGCATCAACAAACAATTGATCTTATATATCATTCTAAAAAGCTAAACCTTGTAGAACGCCCTTAATCCTTCGTTTTTCCTAATTTTTCGAACGCAATCCGACATGCCGGTGTATTTCGGCTGCTCCCCAATTTTAGGAATGGGCTGCGTCTGAAGTCTCTGCGTTCATATATCATGACGGTTTAGTAAATCCCATGTACGTGCGCGTCTATTTTATTTAGAAAAAAAACATACCACTTTAACAATGTCAAATGGCTGGGTTTTTTTTTCTGTGGTTAGAATCTTGGCTTCAATAAAGATTAACACGATAACTGAAAAAACTCTTTACCTGTCCAACAAACACCTGAACAATGCCACCGACTGTTCCACTGGCACAATCCTTAACGGCTCTTAAAAAACCTCCTTGAGCCGTGTCTGACATATTCCTTTAAACTGTATATTACGTATCTATATTAGATATATTAAATACTGTATGTTAGATACACTCGCATGTTAAACAATTTCATCATTACTAATTAAATATTTACATGTCTAATTAGAGACGTTTCATTTTGATCATGATCTTTAATTGGTTAGATTTTCGGAACGTTATCCTCGCGATTTACAAAAAAAAATCACCCCATTACTCTTTGAATCGCCTTTCAATGAGAAAAAAAAGTAATTATGTTTCAAAATTCTTATAAAATCCCAATGCAACTTTCTTTTTCCTCAGCTTGCTTAAAGCAGAAGATAATTTCCTCATTAACCTATCGGAAATACAAATACATAAAACCTTTAACGTTCAAATATTTGTTTATCTCAAACTTTACAATGCAGGCTACGACAGGTTAGTTGTCGGCTTATACCTTTTGGGCAAGGCGAAGAAATTCGGGGCACTTTCTTAGCAAACCTGCCACGCCTTGTTTATACCAGGTTTTTTTGGTTCTGGTTTGTTTTGTAATTTCTGAACTCGGAGCAATATCTATTCTTTGCAAACGTTTTTCGACTTTTAAATTCGCAGAATCCCCTCGTTCTAAAATTCTTACGTATGACAGTATAAACCCTCACGTCAAGAAGGTAGAGTATGCTGTTCGTGGAGAATTGGCGATTCGTGCAGAGGAAATCAAAGAACGACTTGGGAAAAAAGAGGATTTGGGTTTTGATGCTGTTGTCGGTTGCAACATTGGAAATCCGCAGCAACTATTGCAACGGCCAATCACATTTTTCCGTCAGGTAAGCAGGCGCGAGAATTGATCGTAATTTTTTAAAGTAACAAGAAAGATCTTACGGATTATTATTTTTATTATTTTTATTTTTCCGAAAACTGCGAACAGGTCGCATCTTTAACTGAATATCCAGACCTCTTGCTACCCGAAAATAAAGAACACGTAAAAGCACTCTATCCTCCTGACGCCATCGAGCGCGCCAGAACATTGCTAAAGCAGGTTGGAAGCGTTGGGGCCTATTCACATTCTCAGGGTATTCCCCATATAAGACAGGATGTTGCAAAATTTATAGAAGGTCGGTCACGTGATGATAATACGATAGTTTTGATCATGCGATATTAACTCGTTTCATTACGAACATAGAAAGAGACGGGTATCCTTCCAATAAAGATGAGATTTTTTTAACTCAGGGAGCTTCCCCCGGTGTACAAAGTGTACTACAACTGATAGTTACTCATCCTAACGTTGGAATCATGATACCCATCCCACAATATCCTCTCTACAGTGCCACTCTTTCACTCTTTGATTCACACGCTGTACCCTACTACTTAAATGAAGAAGATGATTGGGGTTTAGATATTGACATGTTGACCTCTTCACTTACCGATGGGCGAGTGAAGGGTTTGGAAGTTCGCGCGCTTGTTATAATTAATCCAGGGAATCCAACTGGACAATGCCTTACGGAACGAAATATGCGAGAAATTATCGAATTTTGCTATAAAGAACGTATCGTTCTTCTGGCTGATGAGGTTTATCAAACTAACATCTATCAACCCGCTGAGCGACCATTCCACTCTTTTAAGAAGGTTCTCAAGTCGATGGGAAGCAAATATGACCAATTTGAGCTTTTTTCATTTCACTCAATCTCAAAAGGAATGATTGGTGAATGCGGAAGGCGCGGAGGTTACTATGAATGCACGGGTATTGATAAAGAGGTTGTTGATCAACTTTACAAACTAGCCTCGGTGAGCCTCTGCCCAAATGTTCAAGGACAGATCATGGTGGACTTGATGGTGAAGCCACCAAAACGCGGTGAACCTAGCTACGAACTGTATCAAAAGGAAATTAGAGGAATATATGAGAGCCTTAAACGGAGGAGCAAAAAGTTGAGCAACCTGTTTAATAGTTTAGAAGGTGTGACATGTAACAATGCCCAGGTAACTTTTCGTTAAATAGTTACGTGTAGACCCTTTTTTTTTTAATAACCACATATCTAACGTAATCTCAATCACAGGGATCCATGTATCTATTTCCTCGAATCCGTCTACCAAGGAAAGCGATCGAAGCAGCTAGTGAGGCCGGGAAAAAACCGGACGTATTTTACTGCTTGGCTATGCTTAACGCCACAGGTGTATGTGTGGTGCCTGGCAGCGGATTCGGTCAGAAAGATGGCACCTGGCATTTTCGTAGTACATTCTTACCACCCGAAGAATTATTCGACGGATTTTGCGCAAGATTGAAGAAATTTCATCAGGAATTCCTTTCAAAATATTGTGATTAAGAAAACAAAATTGATTTTATTTTTGTATAGTGTTATGTAATAATGTAATAAATATCATTACGTGTAACATAAAATGTTACAGCCAATCAAAATGTGCGTTACTTTGACTGATGTATAAATCATGCAGTAAATGTCTGCAGCTTCAATGTGACTTAAATTCTTCGCAATGATTAGTGCATTTTTTATTTACAATCAGAAAGGCGAAGTACTCATCTCGCGCTTGTACCGTCAAGATTTGAAGTAAGACGGTTCACCAAATCCGTTATTGCTTTTTTTATTTTAAACCTCTCGATTCACAAGTTGAACTGTTGGACAGGCGTTCTGTAGCAGATATCTTTCGAATACAAGTGATCTCCAACACAGATGTACGATCTCCAATAATTACACTTGGATCTACCTCGTTTTTTCACGTTCGTCACGAAAATCTTTACATTGTTGCAGTCACGAAATGCAACGCTAACGCCGCACTAGTGTTCGAATTTTGCTATCGACTCATAAACATTGGCAAGGTGTATTTCGGAAAGCTGGACGAAGAAGCAGTAAAAAACAATTTTGTGCTGGTGTACGAACTGTTAGATGGTGAACATTCTTACATTTTACATCCTGAATGTTGCCTTAAGAAAGTTTATCTGAGGTTCGATAAAATAGTATTGATTCGCTTTAGTTGTTTCCATTCGTTAGTGGCTTAAAAAAGAAAACATGGAAATTATCACAATATTGTAACATTGGACTACTTCGATGATAATATAACAACGATCTTCTATTCCAACAATCTGATGTTGACATCACCATTTTTAGAGGTACTCGACTTCGGTTATCCACAAAATAGTGAAACCGAAACTCTGAAACTATACATCACCACCGAGGGTGTAAAATCAGAACGCGCATTAGTATGCATTGTTTACTTGTTTATGCGTGTTTCTATTTTTTATTAAGGAAAATGTGGCAAGATTTACTTGTTTTTTTTTCATGATTAGAAGGAGGATTCTTCGAAGATCACAATTCAGGCAACGGGAGCAACGGCGTGGCGTCGATCGGATGTCAAATATCGCAAGAATGAAGCTTTCATAGATGTTATCGAATCAGTTAATCTGCTAATGAGCACAAAAGGTGGGTAATGACTTGTCTTTCAAAGTAGGTATTACCCGTTGGAATCATTATTGAAGCTGTTGCGTGTCTCTATTACTCAAGGTACCGTGTTAAGGGCGGATGTTTCCGGACAAATTATGATGAGAGCATATCTCTCGGGGACACCCGAATGTAAGTTTGGGTTGAACGACAAATTACTCTTGGAGAAAGACTCAGCACATAGAGGAACGTATGTAGATAATTAAGTTGATATCGTTTTAAACGCAAGATTATGCAACTTTCGTGCTAAGGTAGTTCTAAATCAAATAGTTCCCAGAGGAGGACCAATGCCGTGGAGATTGATGACTGTCAGTTTCATCAGTGCGTCAAATTGGGAAAATTTGATTCTGATCGAACTATTAGTTTTGTGCCTCCGGACGGTGAATTTGAATTGATGAGGTTAGCGATGATTAATTCTCGGTAGAAAGAGTAGTTCCGTGTGTATTATATGTCACATCTTTCTCATTCAATCTAATGGCGCAGATATCGTACGACCGAAAATGTCAATCTTCCTTTCCGCGTACATCCTGTCGTCAATGAAGTAGGAAAATCGCGTGTAGAATATCGAATCGCGGTGAAAGCAAACTTTTCTCAAAAGTTATACGCAAACAATGTTTTAATAAGGATTCCCACTCCCCTTAACACAGCAAATATTAATTTACGCGTAGCCTCTGGAAAGGCAAAATACGTGCCGGCTGAGAATTCCATCGTTTGGAAGTAAATGTCATTACAAACAAAATAAAAAAATAGAACTCCTTTATTCAATCACTCATGCGTTTATTATTCACACAGGATACCCCGATTTCAAGGACAAACCGAGGTGACGTTATCAGGTGACGCCGAACTTTCGGCAATGATTATTAAGAAAGCATGGTCTAGACCACCAATTTCAATGGATTTTCAAGTATTAATGTTTACCTCCTCGGGGTTGTTGGTGAGATTTTTGAAAGTTTTCGAAAAAAGTGATTACACCAGCGTCAAGTGGGTAAGGTATATGACCAAAGCTGGAAGTTATCAAATTAGGGTAAGCATTCGAAAGCTAATTCAATTAAAGTTCAATATTCCAAATTCTGAAAAAAATGGACTAACTTTAAATGGTGAAATTTACTGTTATTGTTTAGTTCTAAACAAATTAGGGTTTGATAAAAAAAAAATAAACATAAAATCTCATGAATAATATTTAATTTTTTTTTATTTTTATTATTTCATTGTATACCCCTCGCCGGATATATTCAAGGGGAAATATGTAGTAGTTATAATAATGCATATTATTAAAAACCTAAATTTAAACCATAAAGACCAATCCAAAATTTTACACAAGTCATTAAGAACGTGACCTATTCGAATAATTAAGCACATTGCCTATTCTAGTATTTCACCCCTCGGGGTAAATTATTTACATTAAAGGTTTCGCAGTGTTTGGTGTCAGATCTAAAATATATATAGTATACGATCAATCCTGCATAAAACCAGTTATAGGTGTTAATCTCCTTGTGCGTTGACCAATATTCCTGAAACTTTGCGAAAAATAAGGGAACTTTTGGCTTAGCACAAAGGATCATTGATTTACACTATGAAATTGGGCTTGGTAAGATCTTAAGGATCGAAAAAGATCATGATTGCATGCCTGTGACGTTATTCAATGTATCGGATAGGTCTTAGGGTCTTCAATACTCAATGCAGTATTTAAATTACATACATACAATTTTATATAACCAAGCCGCTTGAAAACTAAAACTTTCTTGTCATTTTGAAAAAAAAATCTCTAGAAAAAAATGTATAAAGACGTCTCGCAAGACGAAGACGAAAAACATGCGAAACCCGGAGGACTTATGAGATATCTGTATTGTGGGGGTAGAGCTTCTTGTGGAAAAACTTGCGGGATCCTCTGTTGCTTCCTCTTCTTGATCATTGTTGGAATTGTAGCTGCTGTCTTGCTATGGGCTCGTCCTCCCGAAGTTACCTTCCTAGGAATCGAACCTTCTAGTACGGCCCCTTATGTTACGAGACCTTCAGGCTTCGATTTCAACTTTAATCTCAAGATTCAAGTGAACAATCCTAACATTGTTGGCGCAACCTTTTCAATGATTAAAGCTGTGGTAGGTTCCTCCTCTCAAGGGAATAAATTCCTGTCATACTTATAGTAACTCACGTGCACTTGGTAATAAGAAGGTATTACAATTTTTTTAGGCGTTTTATCCAAAGCATCAGAATCCGATAGGAGGCGGAAACCTAACGAATGTCGATATTGCCAGCAAAGCAAACACAACTATATTTTTCCCGTTCTCGATAAATTATAACGCAAACCTTGACCCAGAATATACAATTTTAGTGGATATCGCGAAGAAATGCGGTATAATCGGCAACAATAAGACTAAGTTAGAAATCGATTATACCTTGACTTTATCGCTAAAGGTTATATTGATAACCGTTAGTCCAAGCTTTAACAAGATTGCATTCTTTGATTGTCCTATTAAAGTAAGTATTTTTTTCCAGTATTTTTTTCTTTCTTTTTATTTTTTGTACTAAAATGACTTCACTATCAATTTTGAACCTTTCAGGATGGAAAAATGCCTGAGATACCAGGATTCAATATTAGCCAGGCCTCAAAAGATTTAGGTGGCAAAAAAGTCAAGAAAAGATCGTTATTAACTCCAATGTATCCCCTCCTATAAATTATTAACTTATTAACATACAAAATTCCATTATTATTATTGTATTTTTCTGTGAAACATTTGTCTCACAGCTACACGATTTTTTTTTTAAAAAAAAGAAAAAAAATATATATTATTGAAAAACCCATGTTTCTTCTAGTGTACATACTACACATACACTTTACTCATTATTCTATATATGTTCTTACTATTTCAAGGTTGTGTGTATATAATTACTGATTGAGCATACTCTAATAATAGTTAATGAATAAATTAATACGTGATTATATAATCCTGATGAGAGAATCTTTGTGGTGCTGATACATTCGAAAAAATCTATCCGCATTTGATTAACATCAGAAACATCACTCTGATTTCGTAATAAAAATGATGTATACTCTCGTAATTATAATCACAACATGTTCCAAAATTGATCCCTGATTAATCAGTGCTTTAGAAACTTGCCAATTTGAGCGGATTTGCGCTCTGGGTTTTTTATGAATTTTTCCTTTTCTCTCGTATCCACGTATCCTACATAACTAAACATTCTCGTTGATTACTTTTTCTAGAATCCGCGTAATTTCCCTCACCTCTTCTCCACATCTCAAACACCTCCAACTCCCGCCTTCCTGAATTAGTTTGGTCTTGATACAACAGTAACAATATCTGTGACCACAGTTGGTCTCATATGGGTTATGCAATCTCGTGGAATTCGCACTTGCCCCTGGCATCGTCTTATCCAATTGATTTTCGTAACATATTGCACACGTATGAACCGGTAAGAAGTCAAAAGGACGATATTTGGAATATGATTCGGGGAGAAGAGTACGATGCACAATGTTTTTGAATTTTTTCAAATTGATAAGTGGCATGAGAAACAAAAGAAATTCCTACAAGTAAAATAAAATGAGAATGAATTCACCTTACAATTCAGGTAAAAAAAAATATCTTATTATTTACTATGCGGAATTACCGTAAAGGCATGCCAAACTAATTGACGATTCAAAAATTCAAAGCTAATTTGCCGGTTTGACGATCTTCGAGTATATACGAGGCGCATCGAAAGAAATCGATCTATCAAGTTACGGTACCTAATAATGTAAATAAGGATGGTGACAAAATCTTTACAATATGAGTGTCGTAAAAGTTACCAATAAGGTGTGCTCTCACCTTCCGTTATATAAAAACGCGAGAAAATTGACAAGGGAAAAAATTCGGTAGGCACTTTCCATTTTCTGTAAAATCTTCCAAACAATTTTACGGGGATTATTCTAGAGAATAGGTAAGTTTCGGTCGTTAAATGAACGAAATAACGTGAATGATATGTAAGTTAATGAGAACACACCCACATCGTCATATTCGCTCCACCCTCGTGCCGTCAATAACCGATTCAAACGCGTCCAAGTATACTGACCACCAACGGTCATAATTCCGAACGCGTATTTTTGAAATGGTGCAAGAGGTGCATCCTTTGCCGATTGTGCTATGCAGAAAAGTAACAAGAATATGAATAATTGATCTGTGATAAAGCTTTCGAAAATGTTAATTTCTGATTCACACATCCTCCAGCGTGTTTTCTTTCATCACGATAATTTAAGTTTTGCAACTGTGCCCCGTAAGATGCTCCAGACTCATAAATGGAAAGACGATAAATAATTAGATGCAGCAGAGCAAGCAATTCTGGTTCAAAGGTCTCTTTAAATTGAGGCTAATAAGTAAGTGAAACAAACATGAGAAATTCTACCCGTAGGAGGTTGGCATAAATTTCAATGAATTAAATAAACCGAATTTTTTACTCTAAATAAGGAAAACATCTGCCATAGCTGTTCTTTCAGTATTTCGAACAACTCGAAATCTAATAAATCAGCGTCTAGTTGACTGACACGCATAATTCGTAATGTTGGAAAGGAGGGAAGAAAGCGACGAAGAGAGGTGAGTGTCTTTTTCCCAACTTCCCAATCGTTTAGCCAGAATTTTGTTCGCTCTGAATGGAGGACCGCATTCTCTGAAGCATCCTCTTGTTTCGCGCTCATTTCTTGAAAATCAAAAAAATCGAATTACTAAATTAGGGAAAAAATTAGCGAAGAAGACAAAAGTATAGTCACATGATAAAAGTGATAAAACTTTTATTTTTTATTTGCTAATAACTTGACTAATATCTGTTTCTTATATTATTTCACAATCCATTTATTTATTTTTTTATTTTTTTATCATAATTAATAATCGAATTATTTTCATATATAAATTTTAATATTTGAATATTTTATAAATAAAATTGCTTATTTTTACATATTTAGATGTTAAAGTTATTGCTTACAATTTATTATTATAGTTTGTTTTAACAAAATCTTATTTTTTTTCTTCTTTAATCTTAATTTACAATATTTCCTTAAGCTTTTTAATAATTTTTCTTTTTTTATTTATGTTGTTTCATAAATTTTCTTAATTGTATTTTTTTTTTGCTAAAGCTTGTATATGATAATATATACTTTTTAAAAAAAAAATTTTTTTTTCCTATAGTTTATTAATTTCTTTTTTTAAATATTATCTGTTTGCGATTAAAAAAAAAAAAAAAAAAAAAATTTAAATATTATCTTAAAAACTTATATTATATTTTAATATTTTAAACAATAGCTTATATACTTAATATAAAAAATTTTAATATTTTATAAACTTGTTTCTTTTTTTTTTAATGTTAAGTAATGTATTTTTCATAATCTTTATTAATAAAATAATTACAATATTATATAATTAATATTAAAATACTAAGATATACTATTATAAACTTGTTTTTTATTTTGTAACATTATTTTTTTACTATAAATCTATATACAGTTAAACCTTTTTATACCGATATGCCTGGATCAAATCATTTATATTATTATAACTAGTTTATCAATATAAAAATTAACTTTTTACTATATATTATAATAAACGGGTAAACAAAATTATATCATTATAATCAGAAATCGTTATAAAAAATATTGTTATAAAAAGGTTTGACTATATATGTTAATTGTTTTTTTAATAGATTTTTTTTTCTATTATTTTAAAAATCAAATAATTTTTTTTAAATTTAATTTTTAATAATCCAAATTAGATTATTCAGCTGTCAAATTATAGCTAATTAAATTTACAGTTGGAGACAAAAAAAAACACCTTTTTTTTCAATTAATATTTTTAATTATAATTCAATAAATAATTATTTAAATTTTATGA